CACCAAATCACATTTATCTCTCTTGAAATTTGGACAAAAACATACGAGTCAGCTTTTATTACTTTCACCTTCCCTAAATCCATTCGCCGATTATTGAAAAATGACTTTAAGGACAAAAAGTCAGTATTGCCCTTATGTTATAATAATATATTAAAGGGTAAATTACTCAGAGCTCTCCTGAACTTTAGCCAAATTATTTACAAAGTAACAATCAACCCATCAGACAAACGGACCATTTTTGAAAATGATGTCCAATGTGCAATTACTAAAATACCTTTTAAGTTCTTGCCTGTGTACAAAATAGCCTAGTGCTTTTCGGTGAGGTAAGCAGCATCTCTCCTATTTTTTTTCACCACCGCTGTTGTAATCGTTGCTGCCGCCACGACCATGGTCTCTTTCTGCACCACCAACCGTTTGTTTTTTCTCCATCACGGTACCACTACTGCCACATCCCTCCCTCCACCACCATTTCTTTTCTTTTTTTTCTAGTTCTCCACGACCAATCCTTTGAGAACGTTCAATGATTTGTGTTGGGTTGGGGAAACCATTTCCTCCCCACTATTCTCTGCTACAGATAACATATGGTAATTTTGGTATTTTAAGATTTTATATTAATTTAATTTAATGAATTTGATTTTCAATTAGTGAGAGTGGTATTCATAGTTAAGTCAACCAAACCTCAACGAAATTGACCACCGAATTTTAAAAACTTTAATATGAAGATAATTAGGTTAAACATCAAGGGAGGTCATAGTAATTTACTAATATATTGTCATTTTATAAAATTTGGTCAACAAATTTACCAAAAAGAAAATACTTGAGTACATGTACCAAATTTTAGGGAATGTAAAAGTAATAAACATTGAATGGGCAGATGTTTCGATAGCCCAATGATTAGTGCTTTCGGTAGATATTTGGAATGCCAGGCTTAAACTCTTTACACCTATTAATCTAATTTCTAACTTTTCTTGTATTATAAAAAAAAATAAATAAATAAATAAAATAAAATAAAAATAAAAAAAAACATTGAATGGTCTATCCCGGTGTAATTTGTCCAAACATGAATGGAGATTATTGTAATTTATCCATTTATCTTAGTTGGACAAACATATCCATTTTTAAGATCTTGGTATATCTTATCAAAATTTTAATAATATTATATACGAGTAGTGTTCAACTGCTCCTTGGTACGTAAGGAGTAATATATTCACTTTTAATTATAGCCTTGAGATCTAATTCTATAACTAATTGAAGAGATAATTATTTTAAGAAATTATCATTCTTTTAATTAATATTAATTGTGAAATTACTATAAAGAATAGTTTCTTAAAACGAAAAAAAATTAATATTTTATTTTAATTAAGGCACAATAGTCACCTTCTCAACCTTACAATTAAATCATCAAATTACAAATGAATGTTGTACTCTCAAAATATATTTATTTGTATGTGTATGCATAAAGATGAATGCAAAGATAAGCAAAATCATCAAATCATGTAATCCAATATAAAAATATTGAAAGAGAAAGGAAATGGACCACCTCCACCACCGGCACCACTGCCACCGCCACCTACACTGGCACTACCGTCACCTCCACGGTCGGCGGTGGTGGAGGTGGAAAGCGCCGTTGACAATTCAAAATTAATGAGATTAAAAAAATTGATTATTTATTTATTATTATTATTATTATTATTATTTTAAAGAAACTATCCATAATATTCATTTTACAATTAATATCTGATTAGAAAAATGGTAATTTTTCAAAATAACTATTTTTTTTAATTATCTGTAGGATCAGATCCTAAAGTTACAATTTTAAGTGAGTATATAATGTATTGCTCACTGAGAGCAGTTGAACAATCCTGTATTATATATATATATATATATATATATATATATATATATATATAAGAAATATGTGAAATGACATGTAATAGAAAAGATTATAGAAAGAGAATTCATGTATAAGAGATTAAGCCTAGGGTGTTGGAGCTTTAGGGGGTTACTTAAGTCCGCAGCCACTAGGAAGACCCCTGAAATTAATATTTCTTTGTATTGTTAGATTTTTTTAAAATTTTACATATAGTATTAAGAAGGCCCCTAAAATCATTATTTCCTTACATTATTAGACTTCCTAAAATATTTGCTTCCTTGTTACATTGTTACTATTAAGAACCCTAAAATTATTATATTCCTTTTTTTTTTTTTTTTTTTTTTTTCTTTTTTTTACCATTAGGCCCCCATCTAATTTTAGAAATTAAATGGTTTTTAATTTACCTACTATTAGAATTCTTAATTACTAGTCTTATCTCATCCTTTGTGCTTTAACTAACCAATAATTATGAAAATTAATAAAATATTCTATCTTCTCGTTTTAACTTTTATTAATACCCTGTTTACGACAAGCTGATGTGTTCTCTGCTTTTTTGTCGACAAAAAATAATAGTTAAAAATAAGAAAATATAAAATTAAATTAATAAATAATTATTGTCACGTGACTTGATGCAAGTGTGCACATGCATCACAACTACTGTATTATTTTCCGGAGAGCCGTTGTGTCCTTTGTATTTTTCCTATTGGGTCCTCCTAAAAAAAAATTATGCAGTCATTAATTATACAACAATAGATATATGTTTTTTTTCAATAGTGTTGCCTGTGTTTCCCTTTGTTTAGGCGTCTCACGTCTTGTCTTACACTTTCTCTTTTTTCTCTTAACTAATCACTAATTCTTAATATTTTTATATAAAAAAATAAAATAAAAAATAACTACACTTGATAAAAAATTTCATTTAAATAATAATTAATTATTAATTTTCGAAGCGTTAGACACTGTAGTCTAACTATTTGAAGATTTTTTTTCGTAATTTCAAATTTCTATGTGTGGGATTGCTTTGGTTACGCAGGAATCGGAAACATAGTATAGTTTGAAATCAATAGGTAGTGCAAAAATAGAGAGTTATGATATTGACATTCTAATTAGTAGAAGATGCAAAGTGTTAGAGATAAATGTGATAAATGTGTGCGTCCGTTTTCTACCATATATATATAAAAGGAGCTGACATTTGCCCTCTAAAATTATATTAATGCGTGTTTCAATACAATGTTCTTCCAACGTATTAAAAACAAATTATTGTCGAAACTATTAACTTAAAAAAAGATTAATCTGAACAATATAAAGAGAAGGTGAAAAATAATCATTGACAATGAAAATGAAGACAACAAGATAAACATGGCCTAATAAAAATCTAAAAGACTATAATCATAAACTGTGCCATGCTTATATTATATCTAAAAGTCATTTTTTTGTCATTTTTTTTCTTTGATAGCTTTTCAAATTTTGTTGTGTGTATATGTGGTAAGTATAATTTTTCTGAACTTTAATAAGTTCTTTTCTTGATAGAAATGGACACTACTAATGTTCTTAGAGCATTTTCAGCAGTCTGTTAAAAAATTATTTTATGTAAAATATACACTGCCACATATGATTTGTAAATTTTTTTTATCTCCAGCAATCTGTTAAAATACACGGCCACATCACCAATGTGTAAAAGAATTGTGTATTTTACACAACACTTTTACACAATCATGTAAGCATATTTTCTCTTTCATCCCCCTTTCCCACTCACGGTTCTCTTTTTTCTCTCTCATTTCTTTACGCCTCTTTCTTTCCCACTTTTCTAGAGTGCAATAAAGAAGAATATGCAATTAGCGGCAAAGTAAGAATTGCTCGATCATCTTTTATTTATTTATATATATATTTTTAAATATAGAGTGCAATAAAGAAGAATATGCAATTAGCAGCAAAGTAAGAACGGCTCGATCATCTTTTATTTATTTATATATATATTTTTAAATAAACATAGTTTGATTTATCACTTTCGTTTGATCTTTATTTTCTGTAATCATATTGTAGATTCTAGGGTTTTTTTTAGATTTTTTTATTCTTTTACATTCTATTCTAACGAGATAAATATATACTAGCCAAAGATTACATATATATTTTAATCACGTAGTTTATACATATTTGAATCTTATTTTTATTATTTGTTATAAGTTTCCTGTGGCAATGGCGTGAAAGGTTTGCTATTGGTGGGATGGAAAGTGAATTATAGGGGAAATTATTAATTTTTTTCCTAATTGAGGAGGATTTGAACGTCAGGTTTAATCGCGAAAAAGTAAATTGAATAAAGTAGGTTTGTAAAAGTTATGTAGGGTATTGAATATGATAAGTGGTTGGTTGTTATTGAGGGATATTTTTTTTACACAAAAGGTATAAAATAGCTGCTGGAACTAAAAATAGTTAGCACAAATTTTTTGTGTAAATCTACTCTGACACATCAGATTTACATAAAAAATTTTAACATACCGCTAAAGATGCTCTTAATTTTCTTTTCTTCATCTAATTCTAAAAATTCAAATTAAAAATGTAACTTACCGTGATTTACCGAAATTATGCATGTTTTTATTCACCATTGTATACAAAATAATTAATATTTGATAAATACGTATTTGTCAATGGTAGGGATTGAAGATTCAGTTGGACTGAAAAGGAAACATACAAAAAGAGAAAGAAAAGATTTGGAAAGGAAGAGTAATTAGATGGAAGCAAAGATAGAAAGAAAAAAAAACAAGAAAAAGAAGGAAACTAAAGAGAATTTTTCTTGAGAGAGTAGGAGAGATCAAAGAAGAGAGAAAAAAGAAAGAAACCTATTACAATAGTTAAGGGTTAATTTTATCATTTTGATTCATGAATAAATAAAAGTGGAGCGCATTTTTGAAGGGCCAATAATAGTTCCTTATATAAAATCAAAATAAATAAATAATAAAAAATAATAATTTGTGTCAATTGATAATTGGTTCAGATGTACACCACACCGAATCATAGTCCCTCGAAGAAAAGGTCAGATTTTAAAAAGAGGGACCAAAAGATGGTGAAAAAAAAGGGTCACAGGTGGAAATCAAGAAATGCGGAAAATGTGAGGGACTGAATAATAAATAAAATAAAATAAAATGTTTGCTTAGCATTGTTATATATATATATATATAGCTACGACTACGTCCATTAACCCAAATTACAATCACAATCTCTTTTTGGTAACGGAATCTGTCTTTTTCTCGCAACGCTCATGGAGACAATGCCAACACCCTCTCTTCCTCTTCTTCTTATGTTGTCTCTCTTCTTGTTAGGTAAAACCATATATATATGTATATGTATATATATCTAACTAGCTTCTGTTACTTGAATTGTAACTCCTGGGAAGAATCTTGATTAATTAATGCGTGTTTAATTATGGGTTTATGAATGTAAAACTGTGGATCTTCTGATTTTTCAATAATCATGTATAAAGTTCTTTTTTCCCTTACTTTCCTTGATTTTCTTAGCTGCCAAACGATAATTGAGGTTTTATATACTGTTCAAGTAAATGTTTTTATCTGACCCACATCATTTAATGACACAATTGCAGGGACTACAGATTCGGCAACAATTTTCACGCTTGAAAATCACTGCAGCTACACAGTTTGGCCAGGAACATTATCCGGTGACGGAGCCGCCGTCCTCGGCGACGGTGGCTTCACATTGTCGCCAGGCTCATCGGTCCAGTTCCCGGCACCACCGGGCTGGTCGGGCCGCTTCTGGGGCCGAACTGGGTGCAAATTTGACGACTCCGGCAAAGGCAATTGCACCACCGGCGACTGCAATGCACTCCGGTGCACCGGCGGTAGCGCTCCACCGGTCACCCTGGTTGAATTCACCCTTGCCGGCGGCAGCATCAACAGTGACAAGGACTTCTACGACGTCAGCCTCGTGGACGGCTACAATGTGGGTATGAGCGTAAGGCCGTCCGGCGGCACCGGCGACTGCCAGTACGCCGGTTGCGTCACGGACCTCAACGGGAACTGCCCGCCCGAGTTGAGGGTCATGGATTCGGGCTCGGTTGTGGCTTGCAAAAGCGCGTGTGCTGCATTTAACGCGCCGGAATTCTGTTGCACCGGCGATCACTCGACGCCGGCGACATGTTCGCCGAATCAGTACTCAGAGATGTTCAAGAATGCGTGCCCGACGGCGTATAGTTATGCTTATGATGACGCTTCAAGTACTTGTACTTGTTCCGGGTCGGATTACTTGATCACCTTCTGTCCAACCGGGTCATGATCATGATGTTTATTATGCATTGGTCTGAGTATTGTTTTTTTTTTTTTTTTTTTTCCCCTGTATTATAGGGTTAATTTTTATAGATATGTGGGATTGTTTATCATACTATACTATTGGCAATAGTTAGTAATTAATAGCATTTAGGTTGGTTTGGTGCGAAATCTACAGGCAAAAATGAATTTTTATAATGAAAAAACGTCTTTTCATGTAACCGAACATAATATTAATAATATTAATGTAATTTCGATTAACTTCAAGCAAAATATGTACTTTATATCTCCATGGCGTACTCTATGGTTCAGAGATACAGCAAAACTTGTTATTGTAGCATGTTGAGTCTATGGCCCATATGGCATTCTCACATACAAGCAACAGAAATAGTAGTATATTTAATTTAATTATCAGTCTAAATTTCTAATACTGTACCATTTCTATAAGAAGTTTAATTTTTCATCTTGAGGAGAAAACATTCCCCTACCAATACACATCAGCGGATGAGTCATGACCCATTTCTTTTGAGCCACTTAGACTTCCAAGGCCCACTTTGATCAGGTCCAAAAGAATTATCATTAGCCCATCACAAGATCAGCCTAATCTGCTCTCGGTCAAACATAGGATAAATATAATTTTATGATCCGAATCAATTATTTACAAGATTAAGGGAGTTTCACATAGAATGAGCTATATAAAGAAAGAACCATGTATGGGAAAAAAAAAAAAAAAAAAGAAGGGAAAATTCCACCATAGTCCTACTTTTGAAGCCCAAAGACAATCAAGTCCTAAAAATAATTTTTGAGAACAAACAAGTCATACTTTTGCTACTTATTTCCAAATTAGTTCAATTTTTTTTAATTTTATTTCCAACATTACCCTTTTTGTCGTTTCAATAATTAGGGTTGGGAATCTTCCCCTTTTTCGCGCTGCGCCTTCGATACGGCTGGGGACAAACGAAGAGAACCACATGCCAAGTCAAGAAAACGAAGCAAGGAGAAAACCATTTTGCTTGTTCATCGTCATCCACCATTTTTTCCAGTGATTTCAGGTAAGGTAGCACTTCTTTCTATTCTTTTATTTAAAACTTAATCTTTTAGATTTAGATGGGGGATTTGATGATTGGCCTAGATTCAGACTACGTGCAGAGTTTTAATTAGGGTTTTCCAATTTTGTTCCCATCCTTAAAGGGAATATTGGTTTTTACCTTTCCACCTTCAGTCGTGCGATTGGTCCTATAATAAGAATTTGTTTACTGATATGTTGTTACGCCATCTTTGGGATCCCCATTCTTTCCTCTTTTATTTTCTCTAGTCACTTAATGCTTTTACAAATTCATGTGAGATGCTATTAACTCGTGCAATTTGTTTCCTGATTTGTTGTTAATTAGGATTGTGTGGTAATTATTTTTTCATAGATATATATTTATAATTTGATGGTTAATTAAACATGGGCTAAAAAAATGGGTTCATACTTTGAGAAAAGCATATTTTGCTATTGCCATATTGGAGGAAATATTATAACATGTGTTAATAAGTCCGTGAGATATGAAGGTGGTTTGATTAATGGTTTTCTCATTGATCAACATGTTGTGCATGATCAATTTGTTAGAAAGGTTCATGAGATACTTGAAGTTTTAGACAGTACTTTAACATTAAAGTACAGTGTTCAGGCGATAAGACAAGATTATTGCCTTTAAATGGGCAAGATGCATTGATAAATTTACTTAGATTTAATGAAGGAATTGCAGATGTCAATGCATTTGGAGAATGTAATTCAACAATAGTTAGACATCAAAATATAAGGTAAGTTCAAACAAATGTGTCTGTTTCTTTTAGAGAGTTTATTACAATATAGATAATGCATGCATGAACAAAATTTTATTTATTTTTTAAATATTGCTAGAAATTCCACAAGCCAAGCACCAACTACCAATGTCATAGTTATGTCCTCAAGCATTGATCCGGTCACACCACTTGTTTTAGATTTATGGAAGTCATTGATAAAAGGGGAAGGACAAATTTTTGATGGTGTTGTTAATGTTCGAGATGTACTACATAAGTTAACACTAGCCAACCGATTTATGTTTAAGTATGTTAAGAATGATATTTCGTATATAAGGGCCAAGTGTGCTATGGTTGCTTGTCCTTGGAAAGTAAGTATTGGCCAAGTTGGCTATTCTGGGATTTATATGGTAAAGAAATTTGTAAGAGAGCATGTACACTCAGTTCAAGATCAAATAGAGATGAAAACTTTAGTTCCGGCAAGATTTGTTGGGAGTATAGTGAAGGAAAAGATTTAAAAAAAAACCTGAAAAGATTTTAAAAAAAACCTACTTACCTATCGATGCAAATTGTTTCAGATTTTTCAACTGATTATTCTTTGAATATTGGCTACAAGAAAGCTTGGCGGGGTAAAGAGAAGGCAAAAGAGGCAGTTGATGGGGGTAATAAAGGACTCTTATAAACTTGTTCCTTGGATATGTGAGCGCTTAGAGAGTTCAAATCCTGGAACTGTTGCAGTATACACAAGTGATGATGAGCAAAGATTTCATCAGCTTTTTATTGCATATCATGCTCCTCTTCATGGATTTCGTACCGGATGTTGCCCATTATTGTTCATTGATGGAACTTTTTTAAAGGTGCCCTTTCATGGTTATATGCTTGGAGCAACGGCTTTGGATACTAATGATGGGATGTACCCGGTGGCATTTGGGATTGTAAAATCATAATCATTAGAGAATTGGTTTTGGTTTCTTGAAAATCTGAAAGTAGCACTGAATGATGACAGAGAAATAATTATCATATTTGATAGAAGCCAAAGTATTATTTCAGCTGTTAGGCAAGTTTATTCTGATGGGATCCATGCTCATTGCTTCCGCCACTTGAAGGAAAATTTCATTTGTCAAAAGCAACAAAGGGAACTCTTAAAGATCAATTACTTATACATTTCAGGTGAAGGCATATGATAGAGCTTTAGATCGAATGAAGAGATTGTGTGCAGAGGTGTATGATTGGGTAATAGAAAATGAACCCAAACACTAAGCTAATAGCCAATTTCCAAAGAAAAGATACGGTAAATTGTATTTGAATGTTGCTAAAAGTTTTAATGGATGGGTTCTAAAGGAGAGAGAATTGCCAATTATGGGAATTATTGAGAAGACTTGTGAGAAATTAACAAAGTACATTTACAAAAGAAAGAATAAGGTGATCTTATAGAGGCTTTTAGTTAGAAAAAGAATTGATGAAATTTTAGCTTTAAGTGTAAAGCTAGGTAAGAGGATACAAATCATGTCGTGCTCAATTCACAGGTTTGAGGTTCATGAAATACATGGAAACTTTGGTGTGGACTTGGAGAGGAAATCATGTGGCTGTGGTTAGTGGGAGGCTACGGACTCCTTTATGAGCACGGATGCGCAGCCATCATGAAGGCAAACTTGATGAAGAGTGCTATCATAAGGAAACACAATGTCAAATATATTCAGAAACCATGCGTCCAGTCCCAACTCATGATATGCCCTCTTTAGATTTTTTTGAGGATGAAACTAATGATGATGGATATATTGATGAATTAAGGTAACCTAACAAGTTACTTTTACCTCGATGTAAAAAACCACCTGGTCGTCCACGAAGAAAATGAATTGAGTCACAACATATTGAAATAAGGGAATTTCATTACAGTCGATGCAATACAGTCGAGCATAATCGAAACACTTGTAAACAACCAATTATTGGGTAAGTTTCATGCAATTCGTGATGGAGTATGATTTTACTAATATATATTAATTCTATCTCATCTTTGTTTCTCTTTTAACTTTTTTTAATTTTTTTTTCTTCACTTCACAGGTGATGTGATTCCTTAGTGACTGCAATTTCTGAAAGAAGCTGACTTGATTTTTGACTTAGAAGGTTGAAGTTTTGGTGAAAAATCTTGTATCACATCTAGAAGCATACTTTTTGGCATGATGAATTGTTGGCTGGATTTTTTTGTATCAGGTTTTCTTCCTCTGATATTGTAGTTGATGTAATGTATCAGACAATTATTGAGGTGACTGGATTATTCCATTTTTATGTATCAAGGTTTTCTTGATGTAATGTATCATAAAATTATTGAGGTTGAAGACTGGATTATTCCATTTTTATGGATAATATTAGCTGATTTAATGTGTTCAAATCCTTGATGATTACATATTTGTTTTTGTTGAGTATATACAAAAATAATAACTCAGCTTGTGGACATGCCCAAAAGAAGAGAAAAACAAGCAGTAATCAAGGGACAAACAACTGTCTCAACTATTTGGGTGCATCTCTTGTATGTTACACGAACTGTAAAGGATAAGAATGTGCGATGGTGTGAGAACTAAAGAATGGATTTATGTTCACCATGTTCTTATAGAAGTATATACATATAGATGATCATATTATTAAGTCCTTATTTTTTATTTTTTGTGTATTAATTTGTTTGGAGATTTCACTGTATTAATTTTTTAACCCACGTGGAAAGAAGATGAAGATTCCCCAGCCTAATTATTGAAAAGGACAAAAAAGAGTAATGTTGGAAATAAAATAAAAAAAATTTGAACTGATTTGGAAATAAGTAGCAAAAGTAGGACTTGCTTGTCCTCAAAAATTATTTTTAGGACTTAATTGTCTTTGGGCTTCAAAAGTAGGACTAGGGTGGAATTTTCCCGACCAGGCAAGGCGAGTTTTACCATAATTTTATCACCAAATCTTATATAAATAGCGGCATAAGCCTACAATGAGATATATTGAAAATTCCCAATTTCTATTATGCATTATTTTTATTCTTTTCATTGAGTGTGTTGTTCTTATTCTTTGACTCATTAGAGTTAATGAATTTTTGCACCCACACTTTGGCGCCGTTTGTGGGAAACGTATAGAAATATATCCCTTTGAGTGATTATTTATTTGTTTTATGCGACTACATTCCGGGATGTCGACTAGAGGTGCCGCAGCCGATCAACAGATGTAACTAATGTAGAAGATGCGAGAAGAGTTCCTACAACAATTCGGGATGCTCTGACAAGCAAATAAAGCCAGCACGGCTCAGATCGCGTTGCTCTAGCAATATAACGATGCTTTCTAGGCAACCATGGAGTAGATGGCAACCCAACCATAGCCAGACAACGCCACCTTGCCGAACAGAGCCCAAGGAGCCCCTCCTGAGGCCGAAGCCCAAGGAGTCCCTCTTAACCACAATGTACCTCCAAAG